GAGGGGCCCTACCTCACAATCCTAAGGCCCGCAGCCCAAGTTGCTTCGTATGCCGTAAGGGTTTTGAGAGCAACAAGATGGCTTTGATGACTTCGAGCGCCCGTCAAGTTTTGCCACACCCTGCCCTAAACGACCCGATTTGATTAACCCCAACCCCTACAGTAGAAGCCGGAAAGTTGGAATATCATTATCGTAGCCCCTTGAAAGGTAAATTATGGGGGATCCTACCATTGATCCATATTCCAACTTTCTGGAGTTCCCTTTATGAACACCTCCGAAACCCCTAGAAGCCCAAGGCCTGAAACCTCGAACTCAAACCCAAAGCCACAAAAGCCCGAGACGCGGAATGATGCACCCTGAACCCTAGACCCCTAAACCCCTAAACCCCAAACCCCTAAACCTGTTACCCCTAAGCCCTAAACCCCTAAACCCCAAAACCTGTTAACCCTGAATCCTAAACCCCAAACCCCTAAACCTGTTAACCCTAAACCTTAAACCTTAAACCCCCAAACCCTGGGCGATGGAGGCCTTCACTCAGCAGCTGTGCTGCCTGCGGCCAAGGCCTCGCGGCGACCCCGGCACCAAAGGCGATGTTCTGCCTGCGCTTGGGCTCCAGTAGGAGAGGGTTTAGGGTTTTGTTTAGGGTTTAGGGTTTCGGGGCTTAGGTTTAGGGTTTTGTTTAGGGTTTAGGGGTTTGGGGCTTGGGTTTAGGAATTACGGCTTAAACTAAACCGCAAGAATTAGGGGTTTGGGGCTTGGGTTTAGGAATTACGGCTTAAACTAAACCGCAAGAATTAACCCCTGAATTCAAAGACGTTCACGTCCAGCTGCATCACGAGACCCGGCTGCAGTCCGCTCTGCCGCAGAGTCTGGAGGCTTTCTTGGGCCTTAGGGCCGGGTTTCCCAGCCCAAAAAAAGTTAACATCTTCAATTATGGTAGGACTACACAAACCCCAAAAGAAGGATAACAAAGAACATGCATAGAACCACCAAAAGAAAGACAACAAATAACACACTAAAAGACTGACGCATAAACCCCAAAAGAAAAGCAACCGACAAAAAAACACACATGCTAAAAACAAAAAAATACAAGCCCCAAAAGGCAAAAGCCTCACTGGCAAAAAAACCCAGGAAATAAAAGTTGAAGCTTTCAGAATAGACTACCGTATAAGAACCCCAAAAGTTGAAAAGTTGAGTTTACAGCCAATAAGAAGCTTACCTACTCAGCTGCTGAGTGGCTCGCTGCCAGGGTCCCAGAAAGTTTCTGCCCACGGCCGCCAAATACACAGACTCATCCAACCTGGACTTGGGCGTTGGGGGGGCTTAGGGTGTATAGGGTGTATAGGGTGTTTAGGGTTTAGGGGTTTAGGGTTTAGGGTCTAGGCTTTAGGGTTTATAGGGGTTCAGGGGGTTAGGTTTAGGATGTTTCGGGGTCTAGGGTGTTCAGGGTTTCCGGGGTCAGGCGTGAATGTCGGCTTTAGGGTTTGCGGGACTGGAGCCTGGGCCTGTGTGGGACATTACCTGAAAGCCAGGGTAGGTCAAGTTTGCCCAGGAGACAAAGACACAACGAGATGGGTCCGGGACACGAAGCAAGCAAACACGCAGATGATTAACGCGTGCAGAGCAGCTTCACCATATGCTTCCGCAGCTCCTCCAACAAGGACAAACCGAGATTCCAGAGCCCGGCTCTACCACAGGCTGTAATGGCAGCTGCACCTGCTAACAGGGGCCTTAATAATTAGATTAGGTTCTAGGGCCCATGATACTATTAATTATCATGAGGAACCCCAAAATAGTATTGGTACTTAATTATTTAGGGCCCCATTATTAGATCTTTCCTAGTTTATGACACCATTACGGGAGCCTACTGACAAGAAGGCCTTGTAAAGGAACTCCTTACAACCTCTCATCAACCCCAAAGCAGAGCCCCAAACCTGAACCCTCAATCCTCAATCCCAAACCCAAACCGTAAACCCAAATTCTAAACCCAATGCCTACGATATCCCACACCCTACATCCTAAACACTACACCCGAACCCTCCACCTGAGGTGGCACTTCCCAGCTTCCGCGCCAGAAGCTCGCAGAGGAGGGCCAAAGCGAGCTGCCATTGGCCTCCGAAGGCTCCGAGGGCCGCATTGTACACCACGGAGCCGGCCTCAGCAGCCGGAAAACAGCTCAGAAGCACCCCGAAGCTTTATAGGGCTTGGGATTTAGGGTTTGGGGTTTGGGGTTTAGGGTTGTAGGTGGTAGGAGAAAACGGAATAGGTTTCAGGAGCGTCTAATTTCATGGAGTCCAGAAGGCCTGCAAGTGGTGTCGCGGGAGCTCGGAAAACAACGTCAGGGCCTTCTCCCAGAGGTCCGCCTTCCCACATGCGCTGATGACAGAGCTGAAAGCGAAACTATCGGCACGAAGGCGGAGCCATGTGAGCTCTGAAAAGAGCGTCACGGCATGCAGCCACTGGGTGGCCTCACCACAGGAACTTATGGCTGCACTGTAGGTGATGACATCCGCTTGCAGGATGCACTGCAGCTCCTTGAAGACTTGAAGCGACTGCTCCCACCTCGACGCAGCTCCACAGGTGCTGATGACCGCATTATACGCGGCCACGTCGGCCTGCAACGCCTGGATCGTCATGTAATCTACAGCGGTCAAGGACAGCTCCCACTGCCCAGACTGGCCTGCGCTGATGGCCGCCGTGAAGGTGAAAGAATCAGACTTGAAGTTCCGCTGTGGCATCTCCAAAAGCAGGGCCCAGGCTTCTTCCCAGCGCAGCCCGGCACCGAAAGCGCTGATCACAGAGTTGAGTGTGACAAGGTCGGGTTGCAAAGCAAGGCTGGTTAGGGAGGCAAAAGTGGAGACAGCCAGCTGCCACTGCTCTCCTCTTGTGCATGTGCTTATCATTGCATTGTAGGTGACCACATCAGCCTCGACTTGCTGGCGACATAAACCCTCCGCAAGGAGGTCAAGCGCCTGCTGCCAACGCCCACGACGAATGAAGGAGCTCATCGCTGCATTCCTAGTTCATGGTTGGGATAGGATTAAAACTGCACCTGTTTATTCTTTATTGGGCATAAGTACCCATAAAAATGTAAAATGTTAATTACCAACTATGACAAAGATTCCATATCGCGACATCATGTTGCACGCGAGCTTCCCGAAGATCAAGCAAGAGGAAAAGGGCGGACTTCCACTCCTCGGCTGTCGCACAGGCGCTGATCACTGCTATGTAGGTGACATGGGTAGCGGACAGCGGCTGCTCGGATAGCACATGGAGGAGTTGCAAGGCACGCTTCCACTCACCGGCCTTCTCACATGCACCGATGGCTGAGTTGTATGTAACTGTCGTGGGTTGAAGCCGTTCTTGCTGCAGTTGGTCCAAAAGCTGCAAGGCCTGCTGCCAGTGCCGAGCTCGACCACAGGCATGGATTGCCCGGTTGAAGGCAAGAGTCGTCGCCTGTTCAGTGCACCCCGATGCCAGAGACAAAACTGCCTCTTGCCACAGCATTCTGTTTCTGTCGTCCTTGGGATGCTTCTATTCCTACCCAGCGATAGACTTTGTTTCGCACCGGCAACCCGCGAACGTGTCATCGGCGTCATGAAGTCTCTACCCACAGGCTCAGAAGACCTGCGCGGTACAACTACGGGTGCCAGTTGTAAGCGGCCACCGTCGGAGGAGGGACGAGGGACAACGGCATGAAAGGGAGCGCTGCGCAGGCTACCGCATCAAGGCAAATTTGGACGTCCCATAGTGTCGGCGACTACGATTTAGGGTAGGGCTGAAGGTTTAGAGTAAAATTCACATGTCCATCTCCAAGCCCTTCCCGAAAACTAAAACTCCGTTCTTCTGACAAACTGCGATGCGCAAATTGCAAGGCACGGCTCATGCACGACAGGAAACTACCTAAGCCCTCATAGAAACCTTACAAGAACCCGAACCCTAGCGGAACCGAGAAACCTAACTTCTGCTGGAAACAAGCCAGGCTTCGGCAAGACAGCAGTCCACGAAATTTCGACGAAAACTCAAGCTGGCTGAGACGAGTGGTGTAACAACTCCCCTTGGTGAGCTCATATTAGCACTGGTATCCATTCAGTGCTCATCCTACTATCTCGAATGCTGGCACATGCTCCATTCCTGCTCCCGGCTCTACTCCTGCCAAGAAGCCTATTGGTTAGAAGGGGCCCCCACCCTGTAATAGTGGAATAATAGGAATATAATCAGGCCCTAATATAATCCTTATAGTTATTACAGGGTGGGGGCAGCTTCTAACCTATTGGTTTCGTTTTCCTACCCAGGCTAGTACATTGATACTGCGACAATGTCGCCCAAGCATAATCATCACCACTTCCACGACTGCTGCCTCAACTGTGACTACAGATTATCTTCTTCTGCTCAGCTACCTCTTTTGTCATATTCCGAGACACCTGGTCGCTAATTCTGTTGAGGCCCTCATAAACGACTACTTTTCGCGATCGCAAGACACAATCCTGTTCCTCCGCACTGAAGCCCAACGCATATGAGCCATTCGAACAACCTGGAAAAGTCTTCTCCCTGCAAAACCCTAAACTCCAAACCCTGAACCCTGACAGAAAATGTTATCATTGTCAACATCATGGTCGCCATTTCGGGCCAGTGATAGTACCGCTATGTACTAGCTATACATACTACTTGGAGGACCATGGGACTTATTAAGTAGGGTTATAAGTACCTGAATTGGGGATATAAGTAGCTATAACTGTAGTTACCTCACTTATCACTCCAATATCACTCCAATTACTAAGTCCCATGACCCTTTAGGTATAACTAACCATCACTATGTTCACTGGCACCGGCATCGTCTATCAGCGGACCCTTGCAACGATGTTTATGATGGTCATGGCCCTATGATAACTACCAGAGGCCAGCAACAAAGACCTCTAAACTAAACCCTAAAAGCTGAATTCTAAAACCGCAACCACGACACTTGACAACGACTCTTCTTAGGCCACCGAGATCGCCACTCTGCTCAGAGGCACCGAGATGGCGTTGTAGCCTTCCGGCTGAGGGCCGCAACCCTCAAAGTGAACATCTTCAACTGACAAGCCCAGCCAGAAGTCAGGAGGCCCCGAAAACTAGGAGTACCTTTTTGGGGGTCCTTATAATATGGGTCCTACTATTTAGGGTTCTATATTAGGGTCCCCTCTTTTCGGAAACCCCCATATATGTAAACCCAGATTCTACACCTATACCTCCAAAATCCAGATTCGAAAGCCAAACCTTCGGATCGCGCCCTCAGTATGCCCTCAGTGCAAACTCTACACTCAAGGGCTACTTGAGCCTAGGCCGCGTATGTATCAAACAGTACCTCTCCTATCAACCCCAGAACTTTTGTCCATTTTGTATAGGGGCCTCAATAATTTGTGTAGGGTTTTGGGGCCCATTGTACTATAATTATAATAAGGAACCACCAAAATAGTATAAGCAAGTCTTGCGGCACCTATGTGATACGGCTCATTGTCTTCCGGTGAGCCACTCAGGGTTTTGGGCTTGGCTTGGGGCGCTCTGACTCAGATTTGGGTCAAACAACGGTGGCTTAGGGTGTGGGGCTGAGGGTTCCTGAAGCATGTCGTTCACCTTACATGGTCACACACACTGATACTCGGCACATGGCGCCAATGCTGTTTTCCTGGCAGACCCCCGACAGCACATCGGCTCAAGAAACACAAAACAAGAACCACAAATCCTAAGCCTTATAACCCTTCAACCCTAAACCCCCTAAACCCTACACCTTGAGCCCTCTTCCCGGGCTTCGGATTGGCGTAAGGACTTGTTGTTGCCGGACCCCGCTTGCTGGGCTCGAGTCTCCGATCTTGCAAGATGCTTCACAGAGGAGTCTTAAGCAGTATAGGGTTTAAGGGTGCATGAGTAGAATAAAGCTCCTTTAAGGGTTTTCTGTCCCTTTAAGGGTCCTTTATCGGATACCGTTGCACTTTTTAGAGTTCCTTTGCGGGCTGCTACAAGAGCTTAGTAGAGGGGCCTGCATAAAGAAAATCAGGTTCCGTAAGGCTTTTGTAGTGCTATAAGGATACGATAGTGACGGGATGTCGTTTGAGGGCCTTGATTTGTGGTTACGTTAGAATTGAAATACAGTGGGAACAATAGCGAATAGCATTCGTCATTACTTGGTTTTCTGATTTCTGTATCACTCGACACCTTGGCACTCCAGCCGTAAAGCGCTTTGATCCTTCGGTTCTACTCGCCTGTGTTTCGGCTTTGTCATGCTCAGACGTTTCGGACGATTGATACAGATTTCGAAGAGGTGCGCGCTCATGGACGTACACACCGGATGATGCAGGTGTTCCAATGCACGACCCCTGATCTCCACACCCTACCAAGCCATGCAGGAATTCTAGCACAAGCCTCCAACCCAAACCGGCTGAAACAGCAGCAGGGGCAGGCCAGACTTGCAAAGTTGCTGGTGCAACGTCCGACCAAGGGCCTTGATCCCTTGCGACTCGAAGCCGATAACCCTTCAACTTCAACCAGGCGTTTCTGTCCTGTGCCCACAAATGCTCCCTAAAACCCGAGGAACGACTCTGGGGCCTGCAGGGATCGAGGGTGCAGAGATGAAGGTTGCCACTGCTGTTGAAACCCAGTACTGAAACCACTTACAGTCTGCTGGCACCGCTTTGATAAGGCCCCCACCCGCATCGTATGCTGCTCGCTGCAGCTTGTCGAAGTCCGCAATGCGAGAAAGCATCGACAAAACCTGGACCGTGCAAGTTTAGGGTTTTTTTAGGGATTCAGGGCTGACGGTGTCGGTCTCAGAGATCGCGGTGTAGGGTTTGGGCTTACGGCTTACACTTCAGACTTCGCTTCAGGATTGAAACACTGCTCTGTTTCTGTCTTTGGTGCATCACTAAACCCTCATCTCCAAACCCGGGACGGTAAAGCCCTAGAGCCCTAAATCCTCGGCACTTGAACCCCCCGAAACTGCAAGCCCCGAAGTCCTAAACCTCAAAGACCTCAACCCTAAATAGTCTAAATCACCACTGCCCCAAACCCCTCCTCCCGGACTCTGCAAACCACGGCCTCAAAGCACCCTGACCTGATCCCAAGCCACTGATACTCCCTGAACTCTAGAACCAAAAGCCTTGCCGCCGAAATACTAAACTCTCCGCCCTGCACCCTAAACCCCTAAACCACCCCAACAGAAAGATCGCAACCACACGCCGTACCTCTTGCGATGCCAAGGTAGTCGTACCCGGACTCGGTCGGCCCCTGGGCAGAACAGTTTGGGGTTTGGACTGTTAGTGTTTAGGGTTTCAGGTTGCGTGGGCGTGGGGTTCAGTTCATGGCTAAACGGAGAACCTGCGTCATCTTGGGGAGACAAGGCCCATGCCCTGAAATAAACTGCTTCCTGGATGCAGGGTTCCCTTACTTTGGGGAGGGCCGGCAGGCAAGCAAAAACAAACTATGAAGAATACACATAAATGCGGCATGTTGAGTTTACACACGAGGGAGTCTTGGGTTGAGGCCCCCTAAACCCTAAACCCTGGATGGGTTGAGGTTTGGAGGTTCGGTTTAGGGTTTACCGTGAGGCTCGTGAGGAGACAGGTTTTGGACTTCAACTGCAGGCCTTGCTGCTGACGACCTGGAAGAGGCAAGTTTGAGAGCCCTCCCTAAGCACCTCAATCATATGAAACCCTCAGCCCTAAACCATCCTAAACCCTAAACAGTGTTCTGGTGATGGTGAGGTGACGTTTCTTCGTTGGGACTTCCGAAAGGGCAAGCTCAACTGCGCACTTTGGGCATTTCGGGTTCACTGGCACCCCACCGCCCTAAGCCTTTCTTAGGTCTGAGCTTCATTCGCAGGAGCGGTGAGCCAAGGGCCACACTTGGCTTTGGCTTTCGCGCGCTTCTCCTGTTGTCGGAGGGTAGATTTCGGCGTCAAAGGTTTAGACCTCAGACCCCAGAACGCATCTGACACTTGATAAAGCCCGTAATCTGAGAAATACCCGCAAATCCCAAAGCCCTGAGTTCTCATTGCACGGTCTGGTCAGAACGACGACAGTAAGAATAAGGCAAGCAGCGTGGCCCACGAGACCAGGTAATTAACCCTGAACCCTTCTGAACCAAAAGCGGTGACAGGGTTTCGGCATGAATTTCTGCGTTCGGGGCATCTATCAAGCCGAGGGATCGCATGCACGCGTCTATCTCATGGTGGTGGTAATGGTAATGGCAGTGGTAGTGGAAGTGGGAGTTAGATTAAGCCTTGCAAGACCGCACCCCAGTCGCGATGACAACTGCAAAGCTTGTCCTTCGCTGCTTCCACCACGGCGCCACCTGGAGCAAGCAACATTCGAAGCATTTGCTGAGTCCTGGGGTTTGCATACACCAGAGCAGGAAAACATAGGCAAAAAGCCATCATCAATCCCAGATCAGCAGAAAGACGCCAACAGCAAGGAACTTATCAGTGCAGATGTAAGATCAATGCTGGTTCAAACACGCCAAGGCACATGAAAGAAAAGCACATGAAAGAAAACTAGATGGACCAACACGGTAGTCCTGGCCGTCTGAGCTGAGCTCGTAGGCTAACAGGACCGACAACATCGGCAGTGCGACGAACCAGATACTAGCCGTCAGAGAAGCTTTCCTATATCAGCAACAGTTAGCACGGTGACATGTGTAGTTGTTACAACAGTCGTGGTGCTATAAGCATATGTATGTGGCTGCTGGGGGCCGTGAGTGGTACAGCAGTATAAGTAGCAGTAACAGCAGCGGCCGCAGCAGCAGCAGAAGTAGCAGCACTAGGCAGCAGGCAGCAGGCAGCAGTAGCAACAACGGGAGCACTTTGAGTGCATCTGCTGCTGAACTCCACAAAGTCGACACAATGGGAGCCTGGTGGCGCTTCCTCGCCCTCCTCTCCTCCGCCTTCAGAAAGCGATCCAGACTCGTATGAGGGGACGGTGATGGGGACTCCTCACGCGAAGCTACTACAAGTTGGCTGGCTAGACGGAAAGCAAAAGCTGCGTTGCACGATCCACCACAAAACTGTGAGGCTACTAATACCTCGAGCTCCCAACGATAGCTCTGGTAATTTTTTTCGGGGAACCTAATTACATCTCCAAGCATGCTCAAGCATCGTTTTTGGTATGCGTGATTGAGCCGAATTGAGCCTTCTCGCCACGCAACGCAGTGAGGCAAGCGAAAAGCCAAACCAACCCACGCATTGAGTCTTCTGCGCAACCACGGCCCATGCCCAGCTTCTCCGTCGAATGAATGAAACGTACAATCCCTACACCTGGAAGCCCGGAACTCTTGCATCCTTGCGCCCCAACCCACAATACCCCCATAAACTGTGAACCTCTGAAACCCCAGAACCCCAATCTTTGCATCCAGACTCCGAAGTTAAGCCAGCCCTACACCCCACCCTTCAGGCCCAGAAACCGTTGACCCGAAATAGCATACAACCCCAAACTCCTGCAATAAACGCATGTAGAGCCATCTCGAAGATCGTAGAATAACCCTTGTTGTAGAATTCTCCGTAACCCTGCGAGTGCAACCCTGGGCCTTTTTTCGGGGAGGCTTTCGGTACCACCTCATCAGCACCTGTAGCGTCCCAGGGCTCATATAACAGGTTTATTGTCGCGTTCAAAGTCTTGAAACTGCAGCTTCCATGGGGTATTGAGGTATGAATTTCGGTCTTTAGGCTGTAAAAGTTTTAGTTTTGTGGTTCAAATTCAATTATAGGATTTTCGGGTGGGCTGTTGGGGGATCCTGAATGAGACATAGCATAAACCCCACATAAATCATGCTGTTTGAGAGTGGCATTTGTGCTAAACTCGGAACCGTAAACCTTGCAACGCTAAACCCTAAACCATTAAAAGTCAAGGGCTTAATGGCTCCGCATAATCGGCTCGAAGTTCCGCATCTTGAGCTTTAAGGTTTACGGCTTTTGCACCATCACATGACACTGCATGGCATCAGAAGATCAAGAAACAGCACTGGTCCACCATCTCATATACCTGGAAACGGAAATGCCGCTGCGACAACGCACCATACAGCTACGGGTAGATGGGCACTCAAGCTTGGCAGTTCCAAACGACACGGTAGTTGGCCCAGGCAAAGCAATGATACGGTCTAACTGCTTCGTGTCGTGCAACACGAGCCATCTCGTTCCCCCACCGTCGTTTCGAACCACTGCCGGCCGCGCTGCCCCCAAACATTTCAAGCACCCACGAGCTGCTGAAATTCTGGGCTTTCAACACCATCCATTTGCCAACGTCTCGCCAACATGCTTCTCCAGTCGACAAGCATGCTCAACCACCAACGCAAGATCCTGGACTGAAACATCACAACATGCTATCACGACAACAAGAGCGTTTCACCACTACCAGCGCCAAGTCACAAGTCTTCACCGGGAGGATCATGGCGACGGCTATGTGTGCCATAGGACCACTCGGTGCCACATGTCATTGCCGCTAAAAATTCAATGCTTCGGCATCCCTTCATCTCCAAGGCCAAATGGAATGGCGAAGAACAGCTAATACTCCTGCACAGCACGAGGATACAATGCAAGCAGCAACAAGTCGCAAGATTCAAACCAGTTTTTCGGCATCGCGAAACCCGCAAGAAGAAAGCGCCAGCATGGCGCCTCGACAACACATGTGAGTACAAGCCTGGCTGAACCGGTCTTCCGTCAGTTCAAACATCTTCGGGCTGCATATCCCGAGTTACGATAGTCTGCGCACGCACGTGTAGCATGCTGCATTTCATGCGATATGCTCTTGGTTGGAGGAGTTTAGACTTCAGACTGCAACGTTTCGTTTAGAGTTTCGAAAACTGAGATGCGTTGACAGGGATCTCGGACAAACGAATCCACAACTGCGGAAAACCTCATGTCAAAATCGTCGACAAACATTGGATGGTCAATGCCGCTCTGGTCGCATCGACAAGGCCTTTCAAGCTACCTGACCTGAACGGTGGCCCGCCGACAAGCACCTCTCAAGGTAACTCCAGCAGCCCAAATGTCAATAGGCGCTGCCGATAACTTTCCGCAGATGTTTGAGGGATGCACAGGTAACGATTCAGGTCCCACATTCGTCAAGCTTCCCACAATATTGCAAAAACGCTGACAGGGGCCAAAATAGCTGGCCGAGCCATAATCAATCTGCAATGCGGACTGCAAGCTCACTCTTCACCAATATGTTTTCGAACTTTATGTCGCGATGAGCCACACCGGCACTGCGAATGAAGGCCATACCACACCCGAGTAGTTTGAAATCCATCCACTCGCCCGCTCCCCTATGACCTTGTTCTACAATTGTTCCACGCCAGTATGTGAACCTAAAAAACCTGCCGCGCAGCAGGAGCTGCTGAGCGATTTTCAGCCACGACTTGAAGCGAAGAGGCCTCTCCCCTGCGCAACATATAAAAAAAACATGTCGATGGACATCAAAGCACGGTTATGTAGGATGTTCGTAATTTTTAAAGTATGGATAGCAGAGAAACAAATAAAACACGCAAAACGCACAGTGTAGTGAGATTTCCATGTGTGGCGTCCTTCCCACGTTCCCCACATAATTTGTAAACAAACGCATGATAACTGGATGGTGCAACTTTGCCTTGGATGTGGTCTGCCAAAGTGCCAACACATAACTCGACGTGTATCGCTTGGGCTTCCATGAGCCGGTCAGCGCACAGCCTGCCCACCAAAGGGGATTGGCATCGTCTTAATACGTCAACCTCGGGCTGCAGCGCTGCACCCTGTGCACCTCCCATGGTCGTAGTGCCACTGGACTGCATTGCGCCGCACCGCACAAATTTTTCAATTGCTGACACCGCTCCGCCCACCAGCAGGAATAGCACCGGCAGCAGCGCCAGCAGCACCAATAGCACCAGCAGCAGCAACAGCAGCTGCAACAGCAGCTGCAGCACCACCAACAACAACAACCACCAACACCCTCCACCGCCCTCCGCCGGCATCATCATGATATTCATCTTCTTCTCCACCACCTGCTTGCTTATCAAGATCACCACAAGGCAAACAATGCTATCACCGAAGTCCTGGTCATCACCGTTGTCGCCGTCATGGTCATCATCATGATGAGCAGCCAAGCGCAACTGTTGCAGCATCACCATCGTCGTCACTGCAACTGCCGTCAATTATGTCCGTCGTCGTGTCTAGCAAACTGCTATCAACATCATCATCACCATCCGCATCGTCACGCACTTGCAATCACCACCGCAGCTGATTGCATCCTCTCCGTTCAGTCCGTCGAAATCGAGTGAAGACACACGACGGACAGCACCGAGCCTTGATGATCCAGACTTAGGATCCACTGCTCTGCGCTTCAGGGTGCAACGGCTGCGTGGTAAACGAATGAAACAGCGAAGACTACAGGTTCAGGGTTTATGGCTCTTTGGTTTGAGGTTTAGGGCATCAACGTTAGAACGGTGCCTTTCAACTGCATCCCTAAATCTGTACAGTCTACAGTCATGCAGCGGCTCTATCCACCGAGCCCTGCTACGGCCTTCCACCTCAGCTTTCGATGCTTTTCGTGGGCTTTGGCCTAGAGGCGGAGACAGTGCGTGGTTGGCCTTCTGGCTGCGATTCACATTTATACCTGTCAAGATGGTAGTGCTGGTTCTCGAGAGGACGATGACAAGGATGGTGGGGAGCAAGATGGTCCCCAAACCCAAACCGAAAACCCCCGACAAAAACCCTTGACCCCAAACTTGCATCGTCGAAGTCATGGACACCATAACCAAGCGATCAGTGGACTTGCTAAGTACGTTACGTGATAAGCAAGGCTACCCGTGTGTAGCTCCACTTCTGTGCGACGAACGTCAAGCATAACCTACTATTGCCCAGTCCGGGGCGCCTTCAAGCAAGATCGCGTTGTCAAGCCAGCCTTGTCCTTACACCCGTCGGCCCCTTTAGCGGTAGATGCCTCTGGTCTAGAATAGGATTTAGGACTTGGGCCTACATGCACATCAACCCCAAGACTGAGTACCACAGAGCCTCTCCTGACACGGCGGCACCAGAGTGTAACTTCGAGCGCATCAGACAGAGATTGACCGTCAGGACTGCTTGTCTGTCGCTGAGGCTGCTGTCATACATGTAAGAAGAACAAGAAGGAATTAATTTCCCAGAAAAAAATTGCCTTATCTTCGTCGCGAACTGTGACGAGCACAGGGGTCACCAGCAGGCAGCCCGCAAGTGGCAGCAACCGCTTTAAGAGGCGGCCCTTTTCCGCCCCGAAAACCCAAATTTCCTAAACGCTTCCCTAAATTGTAGAACCCCTCAAAGGAATCCTTCAGTCAAGGAACCCCTCATATAGGGGCCTAAATAATTAGCACAGGGTTTGCGCATGGGGCCCAATGTACGATAAGCATAATAAGGAACCACCAAAATAGTAGTGGTAATTACCCTAAACCCTAAACCCTGAACCCCTACATCCCTAAACAATTATTAAGGCCCCTATACTAAGCCTCCACAATACCCCATATAGTCATCCGTATAGACCGCTTCAAAAGGAACCCTTAAAGGAACCCAATTGTTAAGGCCCCTATACTTGGAGGTTCGTGGGACTTAGTAAGTAGGGCTA